GTGTCACCGCAGCCCCATAACCCCTCGCGCCATTTATACCTTCTCTGTGCGATCTGTGAATCGTAGAGATTTCTACAAATCTCTCTCTGTCTCTCTCTCGGATATATGCCGACCGATTTCGCCGCATCTCAGGTGCAGTTTGGTCGGCTACTAGCCTTGGCCGCGGGGTCGCCTACCGGGGGAATGGGGTCAATCGGCGTTCAACGCGTCCGCTACGACATATCAAAAACGTTTTTGTTGCATTTATTTCGTCTGGAATTCGTTGACGACATCACATAGAATCGATGTTTCACATTGTTCTCGTTCACGTCCACTCACCCCCTTCTCCATCCGCCCTCAAACCGGCATCCCCTAATGTCCCGCCGTTCGTTGCAATCCTGTCTCGGCTAGCGCGTGCTGCTTGTCGCTCATTTTCCTCTAAAGGCCATCTCTTTTAATGGGTTATGCTTGGTTCCGTCTATTGAATATATGGGTTAAATCTATTACGATTTGTTCACATACTTTGACGGCTATGGTGTTCGTCGGTGGTTGATGTTCTTCGGAGATCGTAATCGGAATGAGTATTCTGCTTCGTTAGCATACGCCATTAGCAGCTGTATTTGGCTTCGCTCCAATTCTTCAGGAACAGTGTCCTTTTTATAATATATGTATTTTTTCTTAAGAATTTTGATATTTTGGATGAGTTACAATTCTCAACTTTTCGTGGAGGTAAGGACCTGCATACTGTATCAAGTGGTTGGGCATTTCTGCATTATACTCACAAGGTGAAGCAGCGGTGGTGTAGTGGCAAGTGGCACGCTTATCAAACGGGAGTCAAATCCCGGATCGCCTTCCGCACAGGCCAACAAGCCTTCTATCGTCCGGGACGGCAAAGTGATTCCAGATTCGCCTGGGAGGATGAGAATACTGAACTAAACTTCGGCGACTACGATTTTATCATTTCTTTGCACTCGGTGCAGCGCCTTGGCGACCTGATCCCTAAACCTTGCCCACGGACACTCATGACCCCTTGGCATGATCCTCTACAACATTCGAGCATTTATATGGTCCATGCTCCCAGATAACTTCCTCAACTAATACGTCGATTCTGTCGGCGAATTGGGCGAGGATGTCAATCTGTATGGGATGCCCCCCCCCACTTATTGTGCACACCAAACCGCTCGCACATGTGATGCTGGACAGAACCTGAAGGCATGGCGTATCCCAGAGGGGAAGTGGTCAACGTCCAGTGTTCTTTCGTGCTTCATGGACAGCGGTATCCAAGTGGGCCCGGAAAGACTTTTGGCGACATTACCCTCATCCATGGGTTAAACGGGCAACCTGGGTTGTGACAAGGGCATAGTCAGCTCAACCGTTTGAGCTGATTAGGCCCTTGTCACAACCCCAGGCTGGCCGTTCAACCCATGGATGAGGGTAACGTCACCAAAAGGTCTTTCCGGGCAGCTCAAGAGCCTTGTTCTTGTTACTTTTAACTTAATCGCTCGGTTTTCAACCAAACCCGCGCTTTCCGAAGCACGGGTGTTTCACTCTCACCTCCCTTGGATCTGGACATTGCGTTGTGTGTTTCGTCGCGAATTTGGCCCACTTTAGCTATTGATTACGGCCCTTTCACTGAGTATCCGTTAAATAGGCGGTCAAATCATTTCGGAATGACGTCATCGATCTATTAGATTATACTTCGTCATCATCTGGTTTCGTGAGCTGCTGTCCCGTAGTCTTCTTTGTTCGCAGACGGTTATCCTCACGTCATATTTCGGCCACAATGCTCTTATCCCTTGTCTAATTGACCGCTCAACGTTTTATTTCCTACTGTTTCAATAGGGATCTGAAACCTATTGTGTGTATCTGACGGGAAAACTTGACACAGAAAAATCTCTACGCTGTCCATGACTGGTCTTTCTGAAACAACCTGTTCGATCATTTTACAATCTCTCCCCGACGGGTACACCGCTGATAACGAAGACTGAAAATTAGCTCAAGTTCGTCACTAGAACGGGTTCAAGAGGTTAATGACGAGAGCGGGTGACTAAATGACGACAACCAAAGCTTAGTGGGTTCCCCGCTCCATCATTGGGCTAGGACCAAGCCCACATTCGTCACGATACCCTTTTCCGAAGGTTGCCATGGCTATCTTTTGACTAGTTTTTGCACTAGGCCATCCACTTCATATCATCTAAGCTGAGGACGTCGTGGAAAAGGCAGTGGCTCCTTATTCCTGCCCGTAGATCAAGCCCTTGTAGTGCGAAGTGCCGAAGGGGCACAATTGCTAGCAACTGTTCTACATCTTGGACTGAATCCTCCTACAGTTTCCAACTTGTAGAGTTAGGATCGAGATCGTCGGATTCCACTTCTACACTGATCTAGGGTAACGGAATACTGGACAATGGTGGGGCTGTGTAATGGGCAGGGTAAAGCGTCGTGATGTGTGTAAAGGCAGTGTCACTCATTCCCTTCTCCCACCCCAAACTTCCTCTGGTACGACCCACATGCCTATTCTACCCAATACTCTCCATTTCATGAAGCCTTCCCAGCTTCCTACTACCCTTCCCAGTTATTCAGAGAATTTCTCCGTTTTCCCCGAAAAATTGCTGTCTATAGAAGGATGAGGAACTAAGTCACCAAATCAAACCAGTTTGCCACCAGCATTAGACTTACTTTAAGAATTTTACCTTCAGTATACTCATGACCCAATCTGCCGACGCCATCAAACTGGAGAGGTATAAAATCAAAAATCGGAGCCTCATTATGCCTACTCGGGACACATGCATGTTGCTAGCCTCAAATCCCTCCCGGCGAACCAAGCTTCTCTTCCTACGAGATGGCTGATTGGCACCGGATTCGTTTGGGAAGGTCGGAACGTTTATCTGTATCGAGTGTCCCCCTGCTATTAAATGCATCGAATGCTCTGCACACACCTAATCGCGTCCAAAAATGATGCTGGCTAGAAGCTGTATGCATGGCGCATCCCTCTCAGGGAGGGGTCAAATGTTTCAGAGTTTTCTCTTTAGCAGTTCGCAAAATGTCGGTCACGAAGACCCTTCTTACAACCACAGCTCTTACCTTGAACCTATGAGTGAGGTCACCGAAAAACTTCCCAAGGCACCATAACAACCCTATTGATCTTGGCCACTAATTAGTTGTTAGCTCAAATTTCGAGAGAGCCGACTCCTTCCCTAGGGACCCCAGCACCTAAAGCAAGGGTCTGAGAAATCTGGAAAATTGATGATTTTTTTTGTCTGACAAAATTCTTGTTTCAATTAAGACGTGTCCCAGAAAGGATTACCTGATCACCTGCTGGAAGCAATTAGAGCTGCACAAATAGGCCCCTTAAGCCGTTATCACGGCTAATGTATAATAGCCTGCACGAGCTACGATGCAATACCTGCTACTGATCTGTGTATGAAAAGCCGAAACCGCTAAGAGTAGCGCCGAACTTTACGACATATGATGGTTTTCTACGTCTTCAAATCGCTGTATAGCTGTGTGAGCGTTTAATATAGTGAATCAAAAACGTATCGCCGTAATTTACAAAGTATTTTAAACATTAGGGTTGGTGCAGTCTGGGCAAGTTTCTACCCTTTCCTTGTTGTGGCAGAGATTAAGTCCCCATCACTTTTCAAGATAGGCACATCATGCCGTCCTTCAATACTTCCCCGCTCCTAGTATAGCCCTTTTCAAGTAAGGAGACTTCTTCAGCTAGTCCTTCCCCTCCTCTTCTAATTAGCTGTTAGAAGTCTCTGCAAAAACTCACGTACCAGGTAGATGCACTCCATATCCCAGAGATGGAGTGGGCGTGGCTACGCCCTTAGTGTGCTCCTTTTATAGTATCTTGCTGTTTCGGGACGATTGCAATCATGTTATTGTCCGCAGAAGACAAGATCATTGGTGGGAATATTTCGCGGTCAACTCATCCTACACTATGCTAACAATCAGATAAGGTATGCAGCCACGCCCTCCCCATTTTCGTGATGTGGAGTGTATGTAGCTTCCCAGATCAGTGGAACCTAGAGAATCTCCCAAATGCTTTCGAAAATTTTCGGTTTCCCACTCACCCGCAAATCGGACACGACTCCGCTCCGTGCACGTAAATACGCTCCCCTTCTTGTTGAGAGAGTCGCAAGGATAATCTATACTGTTTACAAATTCTAGGTTCGAGACTCGGAAGGCACTCACAGCGGAAGCTCGGGATAGCCCATGGCCTTCTTCTTTTCAGGTGCTGAGTGCGGCGCCTGGGAGTTGGCGCCAGCAGTATCCACGATAACTTGCCAGCTCCAGAATTATACCGTATAATCGGCCTCATTCTCTACTCCTTTTGACCTTGGGTTAGCAGTAGGGTGTCAAGAAAACCGGGGATTTGATGTCATGCGTCCCAGTTTCGCTATGACCACAATGGCGAAGGTCGACTCATGTCGTTGTAAATCATGTACTAGTGGTTTCCTGAGAAGTAATAGTAAATCGATAAAGGTAGAGGTGATATGAATTGGCTAATCCGCAAAACTTGTAAGGCTGGGCCTATTTTAACGGCTCAACTACCTTTCGACTATTATGGGCTGATGGAGCATTCATCGCGTAATACTACTGGATTATGACTTGTTGTTTTCTTATTGTTAGAGCATCATGTGCATTTGCCCCCTTACTCTTCCTCATAGGACCATGTTTTGGCCTACTTTCTTTGGTTATGCCCTCGTCCGTTCTGTGGTCTTACATGATTCAGTGTCATAATTTTCTCTCTTATCCTTTATCCCTTGCGCGGTGTCATATTGGTGGACGGCTGGTTTGGCTAAAAAAGCCACGTGACTGTGGATCTATCCATTGAAACAGTTCTTTCTAGAAAAGCCAGGCTTGCTACGAAACATCAAGACGAGCTGGCTGGTCTCGGCTAGATAGCGCCTTTGTATAGCTCCTCCTTTGACTCGTTCCTGTTGAATGTGATTTCTGAGCGCGTCCGATTTGTTTTATTGATTACTTATCCTGCTAATTTTTGAAATATTTCCAGGGCCATGCCCTCATTACTGTCCGAATATGGCAAAAGGTTTGAGGATTGGATGGTTGTGATGTTCTACCAGTACGGTTTAGTACTGGGAAAACATCCATTCTGGTTTCTATGGGGTCCAGTGATTTTCACCATCTGCTGTACCCCAGGATTATTCTTTCTAAAAATTAATCTAGATCTTTACAAACTTTTTGTGCCGACGGATGCACCTGTAAGTTTTTCCTGAACAATTCTTACCAGTTATCTCATCTGATATATTGATTTTTGAGGTGCGCTATGAATTTGAACGTGGCCAAGAATTCAGTAGGATGCCATCCGGCAACTTATCGATAGAACCGGGTGCGCTAAGAAAACGCCAGCAACACCGGCGGCCACGTGACAACCATTTCGTCTATGAAGATGTGGAAATGCACCGCCTCCGCCGGGATCTCGAGCTTTTGATGGCTTCTCAACCGTCAGACCAACTGAACATTACCCGATTTAGACGTGATGCAAAAATGGATCCTCACAAGGAGGAGGTGACGAAAAAGTCGCACACTCACAAGTCTTCCGGTGTGCAATACATTCTCTTGAATTTTTTTGGGTTCTTTACCACTTATTACTTCTCAGTCAGGCAACGGCAGACTTCGCGTCGACGTGCTCTAATGCGCATCAACTGCAACAGCGCTCTTTGCCCAGTCACGAAGTCTGCTATTGATTGTCATTGGCCGTTAGAGCAGAGCTGATTGATTCCCGTCTGCACCTGCATTCGTGTTCATAGGATCGGACGCCGTTGTAACGTAACGCCTTACAGCGCGTCGACGCGCGTCTTCGCGATGTCTGAATGCTGCCTTGTAGTCACAAATCTACTCGGAGCTACTTTTGCTTCCTGTGTAGAAGCATCTGGCTGAAATTGTGGTGATAATGGCGTTGTGGGGGGGGGGGTCAGAGTGCGGTGCGATTAAGCCACGTCATGTCACGTGAGATTTGTACGCTCTTCTCCCTGCTCATACTGCTGTGTCAAGAGGGCAGGGTTTGGCGCGCCACCAGCCTGTACTTCGCCAATCGCTGAAGCAGACAATAAACAACTGGTGGAGTGCAGGCTGGCGCCGTGGCAAACCCTATCTCAATGACATGTCACAGCATCCGCAGCGAGCAAGGCTATATTTGTTTCTGAAACTGTTTTAAAGTATTAAAAACACCTACTGGGTGGCAAGTGATAGAAATAAGAAAATTGGTGCCTATACCCTTTCTGAAGCTATAGAGAAAATGTCTTATCCTATTCATCGATAGTACCTAATGCAACAACCCCTTTGAAGGCTTCCAAAAACGAGTTTTCGAGATGATTGAAATGAGGTTTTGGTTAACTTGGGGTTGAAGTCATGAGTAAACAAGTTATCGTTCAGGCATGTTTTTGCTTTAAGAAATTCTTCTATCAATTAGTTTTACATTGCCTAAGTACTACATTCACAATCTAGGTCTGAAACTGCGCCTGATGAGCCCTCATCGGCCCCGGCCACTTTCGCCAACTGCCATTTCGGTGGAGGGCGCAGAAAAGCAAACATGACGTGAAATGAAGTCAAGTGGCATGATAGCGTCGCCGCGTGGACCTTCTTAAGTTCAGTAAACCTAACTTATAATGGCATATCTTATCAATACGGATATTTGCTAACAGTAAGGTGTCGGCCGACCACCATCTCGGTAGGAGGCTCAGACGAGCAGACATGACGTGAAATGACGTCACTTCGAATAACAGCACCGCCGCGTGGGCTTCGTCAAGTCTGGTAGCACCAAACTGCGGAGCCGTATCTTTTCAATACATATATTTGGAAACAGTAAGGTGGTGCGCAAGTATATGCTTTTTGTAGACGCGGCTTATACAAGGGTAGGTTAAGAACTCCGGGTCCGACCCGCCCATTCGACCAGAATGGACTGTGCATTAGAAAATAGTATTGCTCGAGGTAGTATTTCGGAATGGGAGAACGTAGAAACCACATATTTTTTGAATTATCTAGTGTTATGAAACAGCTTTATCGATTGCAAAGCAACAATTTCGCCGTCGCGCTATGTCACTAATCGATTTCAAAAATAACGACTTGTTTGATGTCCATGTTTCTTCAGTGTTTCGTTATTCTTCGATTTCAGCCCCGGTGAGGAATGATATACTGCGATTTTATGTGGTGCATAAAAATTTCGACAATCTTCTACAATCAAAATATCTGGGACCTCTATATGACTACACAAATAAAATGATGAAAGTAACTTGTCAATATAACGGTGAGACGTACTATTTGGATGATTTCTGCAAAAAGGATGCAGGTCAAACGGTAAGGGATAATTTGGAGATTCGGCAATTCTGAGCTGGTCACGCAGTATGTTTCCAGGAATGTGATAACCTGTTAAATGTCTGGATCAAACATGCGGATGTGCTGTTCAAGGATGGCAAAGTAAAGACGAACCCTAATCTTCAACTGTCCTACCCTGTACTTTACCTCTTCAATAGGCCAAAGGATATCGGAAATGTATGCTCAATCAGCTGATCGCTGATTTTTTTGGCGTCATTCTGGAATCGAAAAATGTTGGGAGAGAATTTTTTAGGTCATTTATGGCGTCGACGTTAAAGGAGAGAAAAACGAGATACAAGGCGCTAGAGTGCTTACTCTGCACTGGTTCGTCCAGATCAATCACGATTTGCTTTCATTCATCCTTATCGATCGCTTGAGATCAGCGTGATCACCAATCAATGTGCATGTTTTGTACTCAGGTTTATACAGTATCCTGGATCGCCGGAAAACAATGCGGCATATTTCACATACAGAGAGGCTCTCATGGATTACTGGCACAAAGTCATGGACGAAACTGAACTGGAGTTTATTCCACACAAGTGGGTGCAAAGCTTCACGGGAGACATTGATAACAATAATTTTTACTCAGCATTTCATCTGAATTGATGTACGGCTTTGTTTGCTGCGGATGAAGAGCCTTGTCAAGGTGGGGGGGGGGGTGGTTTTGCATGGCGCCAGGCTATTTGTTCTTTTTTTCTTTCGGTAACGAGTAGACTGTGTCAGATATTCCTATCAGTCGTTTTCCACCAACTATTGCCGCTTATCCGCGCAGTACGGGCTGGTGGTGCACCAAACTCAGCCTCACTGACACTCCCTGCCACTGACAGCGAACCAGGCTGAAGAGGACTGGTTTTTCCGGCTAATAAGATTCCAATACCAATAATAATTGTCTGGAGAGGGTCAGCCTCCAATCACGCCACTCTAAATGATAGGGTACCTCAATTAGGCTTGCTTATCTGTTGGGTCAGTACTGAATACACGCTCGCATCATTTAGACGGTATTGAAGACACACTCCACAGTTACAATTCATGTATTTCCGGAAGTAAATATATACGGATTCGCAAGTGCCATCTGACTACTCTCCGAAGAGCAGAATGGAAAAAAGCGTCGAAGATGGCCTTAAAATAGCCCCAGGACTGGGAGAGTGTCCGAAAAAGAGACCGTTCTGCGTGGGAGAAAGACCAGAGACAGCGCTCCAAAAAAGAATGTGCGCAAAGGTCGCACCTGTATCTATAGTTTTAGCACTGCTAGGATATCTCGTCCCCAGAAATATGGGTTCCTTACCCGCCCCTTCGCTGCTCATTGTGGAGCCCCGATAGTGATAGCAAAAGATTGTGTGGGAAGGGTAGTAAGGTCCGCAATGGGCAGCATTGTGCCAGCTTCGCGGCGAAGAGTTGTAAGGTGAAGAAGTTAGGGCGCGAAAATGCTCAAGTGACGCCTCCCCTTTTCCAGCGACTCCGCCTCAGGCTCCGCATCTAGACTCCGCCTTCCTGTCTAAAGCGCTGCTACCAGATAAGTAACATGAAATGGATACTCTATTGTCTCTTGTAGGGTCATAGGG